TACGCCCTCCTGTTGGTGCGTCATTTTACGCATTACACTCTAAAATGCTGTCAAGATTGCAGGGCTGGAATAATTGGTTTGAACGCATTGCACTTTTGTTTCTTTCAAGGTTGTAAAAAATTAAAGTTATCTTCAGTGTATTTACTTCCGGAGGGAACACACATACACAGGAGGAAAAGAGTTGCTTCTGCCGCAGCTCACAACATCATCTTAAGTGTGGAATTAAAGGTCAACCTGTATTTTCCATTTTCAAAATGACTGCAGTGTCCATGCAGTCTCAAACAATGTTATGACTGTGTGAATGCAAATGCAGACCAGGAGACAGTGAACCATTATGAAGGCAGTTATTTGCAACTTGAGTTGTAGTGAGTTAAGGGAACTGGAAATGTGGTATCAGAGCGCGATGAATGGCCAAAGCTGGGAATCAGTAAATCCAATAGGCCAGATCCAAGGTTTCCAACACCGTTTGAAACTTGGTCAAAGCGTGTTTATTATTTGAGTGAGTGATGTTGTGGAGTCTGGATGAATGAGACTATGGTTTTGTTATGATGCATATATAGCATTGAGTATTTGGTCAGCTGCAGGAACTCATGTTGAATGGCGAGAGAGGAGAACTAGGAATCCTACACACACACACAGATACACACAAACACACACACACACACACACACACAGGAGGACAGGTCACAAGACAAGTCCTGTACCCTGACATCATCTCACGCTGAAGTCATAATGGGGTGTTATTTCCTGGTGCCTCAGATGGCTCTAACTGGGCCTCATAATCATTTTCTAATATAAATGCAAATTGAGTTTTCCTGTATCAAGGCTGTAGATAAGACAGATGAAAAATGTGCTTCTCAGAGCATGACTTGAGCCATTTTGGTTTCTCTGACATCTGAGAACTTTACTCCAAATTGACTAAAAATCTTTTCAAAGAACAAAATAGCTGCAGAGTTACTAATTCTCAGAAGTTTTTCCACACAAAATGTTTATAATTTGTTTTTCGACCAGTTGTGTAAAGACCGAGGGCGGAAAGAGCCATCAAACAGGAACGTGAATGAGAGAATAAACGATACAGATTCCACCGTCTGCTATTTCGGGTCATAACCAGATGAACCAAATCATGTTTTTCAGAGCTATAACTTCTTCTGTTCTTCTTTGATGTAAAGGCAACCTCCCCAACTCACTGGCTCCATTATCCTCACGTCTTTCCATTTCAGAAAAGTTTTGGTTCACTTTGCATTTCTTTTAGCTTTATTTTACTTTTTGCTGTCAAAAACTTAATTAATTGTACATTCATGACCTTTATTCCCATGTTCATATCTATGTGGCATTTGTCCTCTTGTTCAACTCCTTTCAACTCATTTCTTATCAAAATATGATTCAAAGCGTCTCACACACAATCTCGACTTAGATAACCTCTTGAATCACCTTGGAAATGGCACTATGCATGATAACGCTGTAGCAAACATGGCTGACCTGCAAAACTCAGGATATGAAATGCTTCAGCTGCTCAAATGGAGCAGTACACTGTGTATTATTACCATGATGTTATCACTCATGAGTTTTGGATCTCAAATGGTCAAGTCTGAAAAGTGACAGCCAACCGAAATTATGGGGTAGAAATAAAATGTCTTACAGAATGAAAATTATACATTAAAGCAAACTAGGGGCCAGGGAACACAAAACACAGAGACAGGGGTTGCAAGATGATTTCCAGAAATCTAATAAAATTGAAAAGTAAATAGAAATAGTGAATTTGAATCCCAGTGTGGGTCAAGAGCTGTTCTTTCGACCCATGACACGTGCAGCTCGGTCAAATGACTCATCTGCTATTTTCTGAAATTCCATACCCAACTGATGATTTTATAAAACCCAACTACATTAGACATCTCTCTCACCTCTTCACTCTTCAGATGGATAGACAACTCCACTACTGTCACATCTTAGTCATCTCTGAGCAACGTCTGAGTTTATGTGCACATCTGCTCAGAACATATGTAAAAGTGTCCATTTACTTTTGAACCCTTGAAATATGGTCAGTGTGTGTTAGAGGGGTTTTATTTCTTCAGCACCATGGACAGCAGCCTGCTGAACTGAAGGCCTCTGCTGCCACCTGCTGGTACAACGACTCCGACTCATGAGAGAATAAACAGTCTATCATCGTCATCATCATCATCATCATCATCATCATCATCATGGATAACAATAATAAACACTGGACACTTAGTTCATGTTGGTGGCACTTTATTGTAAATATAATTATGACACTGAGAGGAGGAAGTAAAACCAATAGGATCACAAATAGAAAGGTCAATATTAAAACTAACAGTTTGTTTTCAAAATGTTAGAATTGACATTACTACAGAGGTATTATGGTGAATAGTACTTAAAGTATCATTATTATTACTGATGCAATACTGTGTATGCAGCAACTCAGGGATATACAGCTTATGGCAATGATGTACGCCATATTTGACAATTCTTTGTTTCGGGATTCACATCCAACGTCAATACCGACACATAACAACTCTACATTACTGCTTCAGAGATTATATGCTTGACTATTTCTTCATTGAGAAGCATCTTTTGTTTTTCCAACCCAGTTTAGACAAAAAACACGTTTTCTTCCACACTAGGAAATCTTTGATCTCCTCTAAATTGGACGGTAAAATTATTGCTCCCAAGGAGCCAGGAGCATTAATTTCCTGGAGTTCCCATGCACATATTTCCTACTCCATCGTAATACTCAATCATCTTTCGTTGAATAATAGTATTTTATTATGATTTATTTATCTTCTTGCAGTTTCACACAACAAAGATAAAGGAAAATATCTCACCATGAATCAATTCTCATATAAACAGTTTGTAGTATTGTGCCTCAGAATTCCTAAGTGACTTACTACTTAAATTCAAGGTTCTTGTACTTGGGTTTTCTGCCCATGTCCCTTAATACATCAGTTTTTTGATAAATGTTAAATTTCAGTACATTCTTTGTTCGGTCTATTGGCGCGTGGCAACCAACGTCAAGGTGCATTACGGCTATCTTGTGTTATCGTGTTACTGAAAAAATTTCAATACATTTATTTGACATCTTAATAGTTCCTGTATTTACTTAAATACAAAACATATGAAAAGCTTATAAAACAGAGATGCTTCATTATAAATTAAACCAACCTGCAGTCTACACATCTACAGCTTTGGTGCCGGAAAATTAACTGCTAACTACTTTCACCATTGTTTGTCTTATAACATTGTTTTATTGCTTTTCCTTTTAATTTATTTGTTAATGTTTTAATAATTTAAAAGTTGGTGCATTTATTTAAGTTCTGATCCAAATGTCTTGCCCCTGAACATATCACATTAAGTTCTGCTAATGTGGCAAAAGCTGTTTATTCTGCATCTGTTTCTTTTTGCTAAAATGACCAGTGAGTATGATTAATGGTTTTATTCACAAAAACATATCTGATATTGAAAAAAAACCTGAAACAAAGAGTGATTGTTTTCCACAGTTTTCTTTACTTTAAGAGGAACAACTTAGTGGACCCCACTCCATGGAGTCCACCATGTTGCTACAGTGGCCCCGAAGGGACAAACGTTCATCAATTTGAAGGGTGAGTGAGAGGTCTCAGTTGGTTGCAATTTTCATTCTCACCACTAGATGCCACTAAATCTCCCTCACTGTTCACTTGCTGTAGAAATCCATCGCACCATTATTATAATATTTTAAAAATTCCCGTTACCAGTGTTACCTATTATATAGACTACATTTATTATAATTACACCCGTCTGAATCACTAGAAGATTATTTATCTGTACAAATCTCAAAGAGTTTCAATTTAATTTACACATTCACTGATTTAGCTCAAACAACATATGTATTGATGGAGATACATTTATAAACAACTCACTTGCCAAGCACCGTACTGTTGACAGATGTTTGAGAATATCAGACCTCAACATATGTACATAGACCAAATATGACCTTTTCTAATCTAAGAAACAGCGGATGGAAATATCCATGTCACAACTGTCACTTAAAGGAGAAGTTCGGTTTTTTTCAACCTGGTCCTTATTTCCAGCATATGGTTTGTAGATCTACTCACCCATAAAGGTTTGGAGTAACTTGGAGTCCTTCGGACGCTTTTAGATCCAAACGTGATCAGCGTATATCCATACAACGCAAGGGTTCGGGGCATCCACCATACAGCCTCTAAATAAACATTATCTGCCGCGAAACTCTTGATTTACCATGAATCTCCAGCTCTAGTCCCCTGTGAGTCTCGCTAGCCTCGGAGCTAGCGTTAGCTTAACGAGTTGCTTTGTTTACATCCCGGGCTTTCACTGGGGTGACGTCACCGAGGCGCGCAGCCGCTGCACAGCTGACGATCAGTTGTGTTTGTTTACACGGAGTTTGCGGCTGCTAGTTTTGCGCAACATGGCAGAACACTTATCAGGTGCTTCACTGTACAGGATTCTTTTAAAGCAGCTGTGTCCTGGTGCTCGGGCGTATTCACCCGGTTAAGGGCTAGCTAACTTCAGCGGGCTAACSAGCAGCCTCGGAGCTAGCGTTAGCTTAGCGAACCGAGAGCGAGTTGTCTTCCTGTTTAATCAACAAACCGGGTGAATACGCCCGAGCACCAGGACACAGCTGCTTTAAAAAAATACTGTAATGCAAAGCACCTCACTCCAAACCTTTATGGGTGAGTGGATCTACACACCATATGCTGGAAATAAGGACCAGGTTGAAAAAAACCGAACTTCTCCTTTAACTCTGTAAAAACCAGCACCAATAAGGAAATGATATCTTAATTTGAGTGTTTTCAGTTTATTTCTTTATTTATATAGTTTGTTATGTTGTGTTGAATCAACATCTACAAGTCCTACAATCAACAAATAGATACAAATATACCATACAAACAAAATAAATGGAATTTTATAAAATGATATCATTATATTAATATACATTATATTTCTTCATATCCATGCAAGAATTGTGTTTACACATAAATCCTCATTATTGTTTTTAATATTCCCTCAATTTGAACAACTCCATATCAAAATGAATAAATACAATAAATGTCACTCGCTGTCACTGTCTGCGGTGCGCACAGGAGAGTGCAGCGCCACTGTCGCCCCCTGCAGTCCCACGCCGGTACGACACCTGGCTGTGAAAACATCCAACCTCCCTGCAGCTGCTGCGGCGGCGTGTGCCCCCGACTCTCCGCCGTCCAGTGTGGCCGGACACCGAGAGAGCTCGGTGCCTGCGGGATGGATGAACGGGCCCTGAGCGAAGCAGCGCGCCGCGTCCCCCAGATGGCGGAGTGAGCGAGGATGCGCGTCCCCAGTTCCATCTTTGTGTCGGTGTCCCTGTTCACGGCCGAGACCACGGCGGCTCTCTACCTGAGCTCCACGTACCGCTCCGCCGGAGACCAGATCTGGCAGGCGCTCACGCTCCTCTTCACGCTCGTACCGTCCGTGCTCGTCCAGCTTACCCTCACCTTCATCCACCGGGACCTGAGCAGGGACCGACCGCTCATCCTGCTGCTGCACATCCTGCAGCTCGGACCCATAGTCAGGTCAGTTGTTTACGTGTGTGTGTCTCTAATGCTCGGTCCTCTCTCTCTCTCACACACACACACACACACACTGGACCACAGTGTTCTTCATCTCCTCTGCACCAGGCCATGAAACCAGCGTCATTACGCACAGGTGTCGACTCCACGGATGGTTTCTCTCGTTAAAAACATGTCCCCGGCCTCTGCACACATAAGCTGCTTACTGATGCTTTGATCGACGCTTTGCACACATGCTGTTGTTTTCATCTGTTCTCGGGTTCTTTTCTTCTTCGACTGGCTGCTCACGTGCCGGAGCAATGAAAGCGTATCTGTGCCATCGGAAATAAAAAGCTGATCAATGCTCCCACTCCTCATTGATACATGTTCCATATACAGCCAGAGCTCTCTCAGTTGGGATCTCCACTGTTTGATCATCTTCATGGTGATCTCACAGGCCGAGCTGGGGCTGATTTATTCATGAAATCACTCGGCATGAAGCCTGGAGCACATAAAGCAGATGACATACATACATCATGTGGCTGCTGCGCTCTGATGCAGGGACCTTTAAACATCTGCATACAGTGCTTCGGAGCAGAGGAATAAGGGGCCTGGGGTTTCCCTGGGTAAGCTCTGGACCATCTGTCTCTGGAATCAGAGCCTAACCCCCCCCCCCCCCATTCAAACATACACACAGCAGGAGATCTGACCACAGGGATCACATGGAAACACTACAGAGGAAACTGTTTGCCCATTAAGCACAGTGGGCTGGATTGACAGAACAGCAATCAGCAACTATTTAAATGATCGATTCATTTGAATTTGTTAAACAAAAGATAAATATTTGATGATTTTAGATATGCAACTTTTCCTGTCTTTCTAGTAATTCTAGTAAACTGAATCTGTGGGTGTGGTTACTTTGACTTAGAACCTGTTTGGAGACATTAACTTTGTGTTTAATTATAAAAATCAAATAATTGAAAAAGCGGATTAATGATTCATTAAAGTAATTGGTCATTGTGGCTCTAATGGAAAAAGTTTTTGTTCAATAGTTTGTTGCCACGGGGCAGCAAGGAGATTGTTTTATCAGGAGTTGTGAAGTAGAAAATATAAAGTAAATGATAAATAATTGTTAGCCATACACATAACTGAGACTTAGCCTTTGTTTTATTTTGTATAAACAGTATTTCCTTTGGTCGCCCAGCTGAGCAGACGCCCCTCACAGTATATGTTGATTCCCCAGCTGTGGCCTCTGTGGACATGATCTCCTTTCCCCCTCGAGTGCATTTGAACAGTTATTTCTCAGACCTCCACATCTTCCTTCAGTGAAGAGCACAACCAAGAATAGCACATGTCACCCCGTAGCTCCTTATCTCTGACAGCACAGCCACAGAGGGAAATGTCCACACTTCCTCTTCTCGGTATGATCCACCCAACACAACACGTCTAATGTCTCAGACATGAGTTCTTTTTGTTTTGTGTCGAAGCAGGAATGACTCTGTACGTCTGTATCTATTTGGTTTTATTTTCCTCCTGTTAAATCAGCAGCTCTTAATGCTCCATGACTGTGCTCATAAATAGAAGTGGAGTTTAATCAGCCTGTAAAGTGTTTTTGTCTTGGGAACAGTTTTACAAATAAACTTTTTTTCCTGCAGCTTTAAACCGTTTGAATTTGTCCTCAGCTCAAAAATGTGTTTCACTTATTGTAACCTCCTCTGGATGTTTGAGCTTCGTGGTCGAAGACATGAATGAGCTGATGTGCCACACCGAGTTTAGATTATTTAATTTGATTCAACTCTGTCCGTTTTCACACATTCACTTAAAACTCAGTGAACTCCCTGAGTGTGGGCCTGATATCTATCACTGCATCCTTGAATGAGACTTGGATGTTTTGTTAAAAGCTTCAGTATGCGTGTGACTCGGTGATAATCAGTCTGTCCCTCAGTTCCACTGTGAATTAAATCCTCCTGCCTGGCTGGTTTTAAGTGCTTCTTTATCGACTGGGAGCCGCCTCGACCTCTGGCTCTTTGCCCACATCTGCATTTAAGTATCTTAGCAGCTGATGACTGTGACTCACTGTCTCTGACAGATCTTCTGCCATTCGTTATAACAGAGACACATAGATATCAAATTGAGACCAGATTGTCTTAATCTCATGTAGTTTATCATTAAAAACAAACCTGATTGTTTATGTGGTTCATTAAAATCATTTGGCTGAAACTACTGAAGATTTCCCAAGTTTTTCAATGCTTTAGTAAAATCTGCTCTCCTCCACCAACACATATGTTTTCTGATCAGTCTTTGAACATCATGTTTACCTGTAAAGTGTTGAAAACATTCCTCCTCTGTATTCGGGCCATGAGCAGATTCTGTTTCTCAAGTGACTCCAGAGTAAAAGAGATGGGGAATAGAATCCAGAAACGTAATTAAATGTTCTGTAAAGCTAATAAGAAGCCTCGCAGTCTGAGTTACACAAATTAAGTGCAACACAATACTGCGTCTTTGTCCTCTCACTCAGCTACAGCTCAAACATGGAAACTCTAAGATGGAGTTTCATACTGAAAAGCTGTAACTTTTGAAACGTATATATTTTAGAATTATGGGAAGTCAAATTTGAACGTCATGTGCACTCACACCATCACTTACGTTAGAGCTGATTTAGAAAGGTGTAGATGATGGGAAGAATACTTGTTTAAGTGTGTACAAGAGGATGTAGTGTTGAAAGTACGAATCTCCTCTTGAAGTCATACATTGTATTTCGTAGTGTCTCTGAAAAAACAATGAGTACAGTTTAGGAACTGGTTGCACTGTAGTTCATGTTACCTTCACCAAGGAGGTTTTCATCTGATTGTGTTTGTTTGTCTGTTGCTTAGTAAGATTACGCAAAAACTAAAAGAGGGATTACCATGAACCTTTGTGGTGCAGATCTGCATCAGAAGGTGGATCCAGGATCTTTTACACTTTCTTAGAAAAGTGTGAGTTAGGGTGTTTCTGAGCATCAATGAGAAAGAGGACTGATATTTGAGTGTGTGAAATGAACTGTATGTGCCGTTCAGATTTGATTTATTTACTCGTTTATTTCCAATCGACACATTTTTAATAGTTGACAAACTCTCAGTGCTGACGATCGTCACCTTCAGGAGAATATCATGTTTAGGAAAGTTTCCTTTTTGAACAGTAGATAAAGTTTATTATTAGTCATCAATAGAATCAGCCACTGACCACGAATGACTGAACTGATATGTGGAGCAGGTTAGTGGTTACCATGGTGATCTAGATAACACACTAGTCTGACATTATGGGACGATTTCACCTTTTTAAAAATTTTCTAAACAAGCTAAACTAAACTACAGGCCCCTGTTAAACATCAGCATGTTAATTTTGTGACTGATGTTGATGTTTGAATGTGATATTTAATTGTTTGTTTCTGTAATGCATCATTCTGCAGCCCTTCAGTGAGTTCCTCTACACGTCAGAGAGTCTGCAGCTCCTCATGATCTCTGTTCTCCCGCTGCTGTTGCATTGCAGGTGTCTGGAGGCGTTCTGTATCTATGGCAGCGTGGGCCGAGTAGAGGAGCCGTATGTCAGCATCACCAGGAAGAAGCAGATGCCCCGCGGGGGTCAGTCTGAGGAGGTGGAGCGGCAGGTGGGGCAGGCGGAGGGGAAACTGTTTACGCACCGAGCAGCCTTCGCCCGCACCTCGGTCATCCAGGCCTTCCTGGGATCGGCCCCCCAGCTCACCCTGCAGCTCTACATCTGCGTCCTGCAGCAGGGGGTGTCCATCGGTAGAGGTTAGGGGGGTACGGGGGGAGGGACTCTGGACTCTTTGATTTAGTCAGTTATCTGATATTGATGATTGTCTCAGTAAATTGCTGATCAGGGGTCAGTATGTGTGAGAAGTGTGTGCTTCTGTCACTGAGATGAACTCACAGGTTCTCACACCATCTGTTCTCTGCATTAGGACCAAACACAAGAGGTCATAAATACAGTGGGTCACTTTCATGTTCTCTGAAGCTGCTGCTCTTCTATTTCACGCCTGCCGGTTTAACGACCAGGAAGTGGTGAACAAAAGCTTCAGGGCCTTGTCACTTCTGTCTTAAAACCACACTCAGGTGTCCATATGTACTCTAAAAGTGTAATGTGTGTCTTTTCTGCATTAAACTGATAAGACAAGTTGAGTTGTGGACTTTAATCAACCCAAATTATCAAACCCTGAGAAATCTGTTAAGTTAATCAAGGTAGCACTCAGTGTCTCGTGCTTTGCGTCTGCCAAAGTCTGTTTATTTTGGACCAGGAGAGATCACTCCTATTCATTTGGCTCCTGGTAAAAAAATAACTGAAGCATGAACGCTGAAGGAAACCGTCTCCTAACTGTCTTCTACTGTTTTGATTGAGAGACGCCTAGTGTGACAGAAAATCACATCAACTATTGTGCATTTAAAACATTGTTGTTTGCTGTAACCCCTCCTACCATTCACACTAGAAGATTCCTTCATTGTGTCCTTTCAGTGCACGTGATAAAATCTATTCATCCTCATCCAAAGTTAGTCTGATGATAATATGAGGCTGCAGCTCATCCACAGTTACAGTATGTTAACTATAACATTTATTTTATAGTTCTCTTTCTCTAAACATTTCCTTACACGCAAACAAATCCTATCATAGTTGAA